GTGCTGTGGTGTCTAATATGCCAGACAGCCAAGAGAATTTGGCATCAGGGGATCAAACAACTGAAAAAAGGGATGTGGAAGCATGCCAAAGGCATGATGTCCTAAGCACTTATGCAATAATTTTACTGATTAGAACAAAAGAATGGTCAGTTTTGTTGTATTTATCAGAACTGTCTATTTTATCACCAAAGTAGCTTAATGAGTTCCCTTTTTCATCTCAACAGATAGGCAGCCTGGGAAAACACTATGCTATTAATAGAATGGTATTTTTAGAAAGATGGAAAAAAGAAAAAGGCAAGAGTCCAGATTTTATCCCACTCTCTTCAATGGCATCTGTGATACAACTGGAACACACGTACCAGAGGAAGGTCACCTCAGTTGAAAGAGCATTTACAGAAGCCACAGGAAACATTTGAACTTCTTGATAACTCCCTTCACTGAGATACTCTCTGTTCCATACTGCCTCACCCTATCTATCTACCAGCACAGATGGGTTTGAGGAAATGTAGATTTGTATTATGTGAGTTACCAGCAACTTCTTGCAATCATCAAAATGTGCATGTTTAATCCCTTACTCTGAGTATCAGTATTTAATTTCTTAAATCAGTATCTATGACTAAAGTAATAGAAAAGGGTCCCCTGATTTTTTTGAGGGAGATGGATGCAATTCATATTGTGAGAACAACTGATGTTGAAATCCTGACACTAATATATCAACATTCTAGCACTTCGTAAAATGCTTATATTTGCTTCTGGGGGACTTGAGCTCTGTATTTATCAAGCTTCTTTACATATGCACATAATGACAAACATACAAAAATACATACATATGTAATTTATATGTATATGTATAATAAATATCTGTTGCTCTACAGGGGGGACTTTTCAGGGAAACCAGAAAATACATGTACACAGAATGCTTTACATTATTGTTTCAACAAATTTGAAGAAAACTTTCCTCTCAGCTCCTTTCCAGATGAACACAGATTAAGCCAACTATTAAGTAATTCTTATGTCCTTTCCATTCAGATGTTAAATAAAATACCTAAGTACTTTGCTGTATCAGAGCCTTCAAAAAGTAGTGTGTCAAGACAGAAACCTTCTTTCAGAACTGTCAACAGCAGAGTGCCTTGAGCTAACAACTGATCTCCTTTTGAAATGAATTATTTTGTGCTTTAAGTTATATCAGGTAATCCTCTAGGAAAATATATAAGCTTTTCAGTTTGTTAGCTGAGTTTCACACAGATGCATTGCTAACTTCTTCCTACCTCTAAGTTCCTTTCTCTCTCTTTGCAAACTGCATTTCTTCATTGGGATTGATGTGCATCCCTTTTCTACTTCAGGTATACCTTTGTTTAAGTGCTAATGTTTCATGTTTTCATGTCCTGTGGAACTATATTTCTATACCTCAGATCATGTATTAATGGTAGCAACATGCCCACTGTCCACTCTCTCTCACAAATTTTGCTCAGGGCTTCATTGCCTCCTTTTTAGAGCAGCCCCTGACTTTAAGAAATTAAATACAAATACTCAGAACCAGGGATTAAACATGCACGTTTTGGTGATTGCAGGAGTTATCGAGTAACTCATATCACATAAACCTACATTACCTACAAACCCTGCTCTTGGTCCAGTCCCACACTAGAAATGCAGATTTATCTTTATATGACATCGACACTGAAAGTTGGCCCAGGTCTCAAGTCAAAACAAAGGTAGCCCGGACTTGCCTGAGAACCAAACAAGGACCAAAAGTGGATCAATTATAAAGAAAAACATTACTTTCCTCCCCTGGTTTCCATTGAAAGTGTTCAGAAGACAGAAATTGTTTGGGTTTATGTGGGTGGTAAGAGTGATAGGAAGGATATAACTCCTAACACTTGTAGATAAGAACTTCTGAACTTGGACACCTGAAGTTAATTCTACGGCAGGTTTTCCCACACCATTACATCACCACAACTGCAGAGGAGTACCGAGGTCCCTCTGGAGCTCACTGCATTTACTTCCTGACTTGGAACAAAGGCACAAGTTTGGACCAGCTGCATCCACACCAGCATTCAAAAGAGGCAGATGCAATGTGGTAATGAAAATTAGCAAACCAAGCCAACCCCATGAAAAGTTGGATTGTGAGTGGATGAGCTTCCACCCATTGCACAAAGTCCATTAAACAGCAGTGTTCTCATTGGAGTTCATTAAAATTTCAGTGAAATGATTCTGCAGTTTCTTTGCACGGTGCCAGGATGAATATTGAGTTTACAGCAGGCATTGTCTAGTGCTTCTCACTGCTTTTAGAATGACATCAAACTTTTCATTTTATTTTCCTTATATTCCTGTGTTGCTTGTGACAAAAATGGGAAGAGCAGTCAAGCAGTGGTAAGGCAGAAGTTCACCAGTGGAAAAAACAAGGTTCATATGTTGTCGTTCAGTGTGAAATTACTTTCACATAGCAGTCTGTTGCCTGGATGTATATGTTTTCCTTTTTCTCAATATGCACATTAGCTTGTGGACTTTGAACAAATGAAACCTGAAGGATATTGCTCATCATTACCTCAGCATAAAAACAGACTGTAAGGAAAACCATTTTTAATATTGGTTCTTGATGCCTTCCTTATACAATTTAATTCACTCAGTGACTTTTTCTTTTATAGACTGCAGTAACAGGAAATAGAATACAATAGCAAATACCTACTGCATTCTGTGGATTCTTAACACTTTTTTATCCTTCTAAACATAGATTTTTAACCCTATACCTGCAAATCATTTTAAGTTCATTTTGTCTAGGCAGATAAATATGAGTGCTATCAGCTATAATACACAAAAAATAAATTTGCTCCAGACTTTTTCCCTTTGAAGGTAGGTGTAAATGACTGCAAAAGTTCATTTACAATAATAGGAACACTTATGATTTATTCTTTCTCTGATTTCCATGCCAGATAGAGGGCTTAAAACTGAACTGCACAAGAATGTTTTTACATACACTCACTTAGCAACACCTTTTGTGGGTCCTATTTTCAGAAGTGGTGTCTGCTTACAGTACTTGCAGATGTGGCTGCACATGGATGTGGAGTTCAGCAAACCTCCAGACAAAAATTCATTCATTGGAAAAGGTCAGGAATGCAGTTGTGAAAGGCTGATGAAAACTGCCAGAGATTCTTCTTCAGCTCGGTATTAAAATAGGGCAAAAATAACAGTGAAGTATAAAACAAAACAAATCAAATCAACACACAAGATTTTCTAAAGGCGTTCTCTACAACTACAAGCCCAGCAGGATGATCTGTATTGAGGCCATATGTCTTTATGTAAGTGCTCTGCTACAAGACATCAGATCCTCTGTTCTACTTGCACAGGTTAACTGGAAGTAATTTTACAAGTTTCACAGACTTCTTTCTGCCACCCAGGTACAATTCATAGAACAAAGAAAAGATACATGTAAATGAGCAAACTTGGAAGCAGGAAATTTTTCAAAAGAACTTCTCCAAGACTTCTGCTGAATTGTAATGTGGTTTTGTCATTTGGTAAGCTATGAGACCAATATGATCTTGTATCTTTCAAATATTCACCTGTGTTGTCTCCACTAAGAATTAATGATGCATAGTAATTTACAGAGCATCTCAGTGCTCCCTGTTTCCTAAGCTTCTGCCAAGGTTGGAAGTCTGTGCATGGATGTTTCTCATAGTCATCAGCCTTCTGCCAGAATTTCAGAATGAGCAATAGAACCAAAAAGGTTTTTACCCACTTAAAGGCGAAGCTAGATTAATTTTTTATCATTATTTTGATTTTTATGGCATGAGTTGCTAAGTGTCAGCATTTCCCTTCACTGAATGGAATGTAAGGCCCAGATTGTTACATTGTAAGTCAGAGCGTAAATCTGCATTCAGTTGACCTTGGGTTTTGCTATTTTTTTTAAGAAAATATGCTAAGGAAGGATGCTTCTGGGCTTTTATTTTACTGAAAGGTAGGAAATGTGCTCAGAAAAACAGAAAAATTACCCTTGTTCTGTATCAGAAAAGGCACTCAAGTTATTTGGCAGCAAAATAACTGATAGTTTAAAACTACAACATATTTTTCAAGCAAGTTTTCAGCTTACTAGTAGTGTAAGAGGAATAGCAATGTGTGCATCTTTTCACAGCTAATCTTACTTTAAGAGATCACTATTCTAAACAGTTACATTGTTGACTTCAGTTGTCTCACTCTTGTCCAAATCTGTGGAAACAGCTAAATATTTTCTGCTTTTGGCTGAGGTAAACATTAACAGTCTGATGTCAGAAGGTCCTTGAGTGACAATTTCCTTGTGACATTCAGTTACACACATGATTTCATTAATTCATGTATGAACTAGTGCATACTCAGTATTGATTTAAAAAGTGACAGTGACAGGAATTTTAAATGGCCTGTATATTTTTCCTACCGAGATACTTGCAGATTTTGGACAAAAATCACTTTTTCAAAATATGAAAACTCTGCTATGATACTGTTTCATTATGAGTTACATTTCCAGTGGTTTTATGGCTTTTTCCTGGACCCTCTCTAGTATGTCCACATACTTCCTGAATTTTAGAAAATGGCATTTGGAAGGGCAAGAGTGTGGGTTGTTTGATTATTTGCTGAAATCAATGCTTGCAAAGTTTTCTCTCTTGAAAATGTGGTTTATATTGCTCATGCTGTATCACCATCATAAATGCTTTTCCCATCCTAAATAAAGTAAGCAAGCGGTATTAACTTGCATTAATTCATTTTGAAAGGCTGTTCCAGAAAATTCTTCAACCTCCCATTGTAAACTTCTTTCCAGACTAAGTCAATTAATAGTCAGTCTATACCTTTTGGGGAGTCTTCCTGCTAGTCATGTTTTCTGTCTTTTACAGGCTCTTTCCCATGGATCATTACTCCCTCTGTGTGCCTTGATGTATTTGAAGACAACATCCTAATCCTTCAGTGTTTAATGCTTCACCCTTTGTTTCACTCACTCAAATAAGGGAACAATTTTTCTGTTCTTTCCAACCCAGGGTCCCAAAGATACAGAATCCTGCAACTTCTGACTTCGTGTCCCTCTGGCATGATGCAGCTTGCCCCCCCTCCTGAGCTGTAGAGTTTTCAGAGAGGACAGAGAATGGTTCAACCAGATTTACCCAAAGTATCTTCTGGACCACAGCAGCTCTAGGAAATGAAAGTTGCAGTTTCACTGTGGGTGTTGCAAAATGAAACAAAAAAAAATGAAATGAAAGTGAAACCTTAAAAAGTCTGATAAAAAAAAAATAAGTAGCTACTATTAGAGGAATTCTTGAGTTCTTGAATCTGGATCCTCCCTTTTCCTATTTCAGTAAATGTTTAAAGCAATTTAACTTAGTAGTTACTCATAATTTACATTCAATGAAAACTAAACTTAGAACAGGCTGATTTGCTGAAAATTATTATGGCCCACAACCTGCTAAAGTACTTTTCTACCCCCATTTAACCCAGGCACAGCAGTCTGCTTCAAAATTAACATGTAAACAACCCTGTCCCTTTAACCACTATCATCTTCACTTCCAGAAAAACAAACTTTATCAGGCAAATTCAGATGCAGATTGCATTTGCTCAAGCCAGTCCTCGTTATCACTAAAGCCCAGAACTGTCCCCCAGTTCTGCAAATGTGGACACCCAGGCACCTCACACATTTTGGTAGAATTTTTTTTTTTTTTTCTTATCCACATCCTCTTTTTATTCCTAAGGACAAAAGCTCATGCATAGTTTATTTCTGATTTGTTTTTAACCTGAGACACCATTTTTTAGCAGTTGACAATGAGACTCTGTGTCTTGGTAGCTGAATAAACGAACTTCAGTCTATTCAGTCTTGGGACGATGAAAACTTTTGGCATAGAATTTTTGTAGCACAACTACTATGTTTGCTTCATATTATCTGGTTCCTTTATCCTGGAAAATCCTGAGTGGCCTCTGCCAACAGGGAATGAAGAACCTTTATTCAAGAAGGGCTCTCTTGCCCATGTGTGGTTTTAGCACCATGGACAGAATAAATTGCGGGTAATTGGTAAAGATTAAAACAAAATTTAGAATAAAAGGTACCCTCCAAAATTTATGTGGAATAAATATCATGCAAGACTAGGAATATTCATGCACACAGCATGGGAAAAAACATTCATGCTGTTGAACCCATCTGTCCTTCAGTTATGGCACATCAGAACCATAGAGAAACTCTGAGGTTGAAAAAGACCTTCATGATCATCAGGTCCAGCCATCAACCCAGCACCACCTTGTTCATCACCAAGCCATGTCCCCAAGTGCCACTGCCACACCTTCTTTGACCATTTTGACCACTTGTACCTCCTTACCCAGCAGCCAGATTTCTCAGCTCTTCTTGGCCTGTATTGTCCAAAATCCTCACCTGTCTGACAGACATGGTTACAACCGGCACAAAAGCAAGATTAACATGAAGAAACTAAAAATGAAAACATCTGATGGGTAAAATATCATCATGGACTCGTGGTCATTTGGGTCTGACGCCCAATGAGAAAGATCAGCAGGAAGAGCATTTGAAAGCACTGCTATTGAAATTGCCTTAGGCTGAAATTGGAGATTCAGATTAGATATCAGAAAATAAAATATCATGGTTAGGAGAGTCAGGCATTGGAACAGTGGTCCAAGGAGGTGGTGGTCACTATCCCTGGAGATGTTCAAGAGGCATTTGGATCTGGTGCTGGGTGATGTAGTTTAGGGGTCACAGTGGTACTGTTGGGTTGGCAGTTGAATTTTATTATCCTTAAGGTCCCTTCCAACCTGGATGATTTTATGGTTCTATATTTAACTATTGAAAAAACACATGGATTTGGCACAGGTACAGGCCGTTCATCAGGCTCTGCATGACTAAGCTTATGTGAGCATCCAGCTCACAGCACAATTCGCGTCCCAGCGTGTTGCGAGGGCCAGCACACCAGGCATTTTTTATTTTTTATTGTTTCTGTCGGCAGCAGCACACGGGGCAGGCAGGGCAGCCCCGGCGGGGCGTGAGCAGGGCGGGGCAGGGCGACCGCCCCGGGGCTGGCGCTCCTTGAGGGACAAAGCCGAGCCGGGGGCTGATGTCGGCTACTATCTTAACCGCCCCGGGCGGCGGCTCAGGAGCCAAAGGTGCCCCCTCGGGCGCGGCCTTTTGAGCGG